AATTTGATTTCCGAATTTAGATTTGTGCTTGCAGTTTAGTTTTGCTTTGAAATAACCATACTTGCTGGGCAAATATGCCCTTCACAGGCAGATGATGAACTGGTGGGATCTTTTGAGAGTTGTTTGTATAAAATGTCTCACCAATACTCATTGCCCACCCCACTGATGATGTGGTGCAGAATTTGCCATCATTTAATTGATGGTGAATTCCTAAATCATAAGGTCAAGTTCGTGGTAGTCTTCCTTGTAAATACCCAAGTAGGGTCTCAACATGGCAAGTGTCCTTTATGTAGCCACTACAGGGGCAATGAAGTGATTCCATAAAGAGACACTGCTTTTCTCAGGGAGCAGAGCCAGCAAAGGACCTGGGCACTGCAACATAATACACTTTGCAAAGAAGTTTTTATCCCTTTTGGTGTCAGCCTTTTTAACATTTAAAAATTTTTAATTGATGCATAATAATGATACTATTTATAGAGTGCCATATGACATGTCAGTACATGTATATGGTGTGTAATAATCAGCTCGGGGTAATTGGCATATCTATTACCTAGCACATTTATCCTTTCTCTGTGTTGGGAACATTCAGAATCCTCTCTCTCAGCTATTTTGAAAGACTCAATCATTTCCACCCATAGTTACCCTACTGAGTTGTAGAACATGAGAAGTTATTCTTGCTATTCAGCTGCACATTTGTACCTGTTAACCATCCTCTTTCCATCCCCCTACATCCACCCTTCCCAGCCTCTAGGAACCACTATTCTCATCTCTATTGCTGAGTTTAACTTTTAAACCTCCCTCAAATAAATGAGAACCTTCAGTACTTGCCTTTCTGTGCCTGACTTATTTCACTTAGCCTAATGTTCTCTAGTTCCATCCATGTCACAGCCAATGACGGGATCTCATTCTCTTTTATTTGTTAACTATCATTCTTGTCTGATTGCTGAAGAACTCCCTGAGGACATGTGTGACAATAAGAGAAGTGAGTGAGATTTCCACTTGTACTTGGTCCAGGTGCTTGAACTCCTGGGAACCCTATGTTGTATTTGCAAATTCTCTGCCAGAGGGTAACATGCAGGTGTTTATACAGCATCAATTCAGATGCACAGAAGTAATAACCACAAAAGACTTTTAACTCAAGGGAAGTTCAAATGCAAAAGTTATTAACTTTTAGGTTAGTTTAAGATTTAGGGTTATCCCCTTCCTTCATTGAGATGTTCTGCACTGAATGGAAGTACTAAAAAAAAAAAAAAAGATGAACATAAGATCTTAAGCAATCATCTCAGCTCAGAGTTCCTATGGAAACCAGTTCCTATCAGTCCTTGAAGTGTCTCCTGTCACTACGGAATGAACACACCTTAGATATTATCCACCAAAAGAGCACCAGTTATTCTTATTCAGGATATAGAAATTGCTGGTGCCATAGCTCTCGGATGTAATAAGGAGTAGTTTACAAGCATTTTAATTCGTGGCTATGGATTTTACCCAGTAACTTCAGGTCTGATTTCAGCAGGAACCGTTATTTGACAAAGGTATTCATGGTACTGAGAAACGTTGTCCTATTGATTTAAGCAGCTGATAGATTTAGCTGTCCTCTTTTGAGCATTTGCACATTTCTTGACTTATTTAGAACTGAGATCAAAGATGACTAGAGATCTTATATAGATGTTAATAAATGTTAAAACAAAAGTTAAGCTCAATTTTCTTGGCTCCTGTTGTAACTGGAAAGAACAGCTCATTCACAAGAAGGTAAATTAAAACTTACAAACAGGAAGCCTTGTGCAGTCCAAATGTGGATATGAGATACCTACTTTGATTTTCTTTACCTGTATCACACAGTGAAGAAAATTACATTTGGTAAAGCCTTCTGGACCTTCTGCTCTGGAGGTGGAGGGAAGGAGCAGTCTCTGCTGTTCGTGGCTTTGCTTGTTCCATGGCCTTTGTTCCTGTTGCTGAAGAGGCCCAGGATGAGAACAGTGTCACCCACATCCTTGTGTTCTGTTTTCCTCCCACCTCCTTGGGTTGTGTATGTAGGTGCGTGCTGGCATCTGGGGATCATTTTGCTTTAGAGTAGGTGAGAAACCTTCTTCAGCTTTGCTTAGAGCAAGGCCGCTTTGACATTATGGAGTATCTTATGACTCCTCCAGAGTTCAGCAATCTAGTAAAGGGTGTTGGGCTGACTTTCCCTCTACCTTAAACCATGGCCCTCAATTCTCAATCTCTAAAAAATAAGAATAAGAAGAAACTAAATTCCTACTGACAATAAGTAGTCTAATATTTCAGTTCTGTTACATGGTGTCTTCTCAGAAATGTTTTTATAAGAGAGTAGAGAATCTGTAGGCTGGTAATGCAGCTCTATAATATGAAGGATATAAAAGGCTTTATTTCAAAAGAAGTAAGAGTTGGTAGAATTACTAATTACCAATAAAATTATGTGACACAGTTTCTAAATTGGGCCTGGAGTAAGAATCAGTTTCCCTATAAGTAAAACAAAGAAAAAAATTTTCCCAATCCACTTGGTGTGAAAATTAATGAAATGGTATATGCGAAGCTCTCACCAGCATTTGTGGCATGAAGCAAGCACCCAATAAATGAAAAAATCTACATCGTCCCTCCTTCCCTACACACACACACACACACACACACACACACACACACACACACCCTTTTATTTCTATGCACAGAGCTTGTCTATTTACAGAGCTCCATAGGGAATACTCTTTTATCTTATATGTAGCCTTACCTCTGGTCTAATTACTAATTCCAGCTATTACTTTTGGTTCCATTTATCCTTATTTGGCTTATTCGCAGTGACTTTTGAACCTAATCTATTAAGGTGGCAATTTTAGAATTTATAGAATCTTAAAACTAGAAATTTATTTGGAAGATGAGGAATAGAAAGCCTAAGATATGTAGGTAACTTCCCCCAAGTCATGCTATTTAAAAAATCTCGATTTTTGGATTGTTGAAATCATGTTTCACAGACACAGCAGAGGTTTTGGTCCTGGTGGGGCAAAGCACTGGATGTAGTTTAAAAAGGGATCTTTGTGAAAGCAAGAGATGACTTTGTAGTGCTAGATGCTTACAAATTGTGCAACCTTATGTGAGGAAGTTTATTTCTCCATTCCTAAAATAATGTCTACCCTACTTATTTTAGAGAAGCATGAGATCCAGATTTTAAAAAATGTAAGTGACAATGTTTATAAACTACAAAGTCCTGCATAAAAATATTTTGTCATTTATTAGCACACAATAGTTTGTGTATATATATATATATATATATACACATACATGTATAATATATATGAATAACAAATAGGTGTCTCTATGTCCACATTAATGAATTAATTAATAAAATTATTTGCAGTAAAACCCAATCTTTCATATATTTCTTACAGGTAGTGCCCAATTTATGGTCATCTGTGGTAGGCTTTCTGCAGACTACCAAAGTAGGTCAGCATCTTGGGGCTCAGGCTAAGAATGGGGAAGAATTTCAATGGGACATTGCTGCACTGGAACCCAAGCAAGCCATCTGGAAGCTTAATGTCCCTTTCCTATACAGAATCAAGACACATCGCCTCTGAAGGGCAGGTTCAATGGGGATAGTCAACCACTTTCTGCTTCATGGATGTTAAGATATGCTTTGAGCCTCAGTGGATATTTACTGACATACTGAGATTAACTTCCCTCTGTATGACTTAAAAAAGTAAACAGAATTCCAGTTTCTTACAATGTAAAAATATATGGAGTGCAGGACTGGCAGGGGAGGGCACTCTTCAGTTGACTGGGGATGATGGCTTACAGAATTGAGCAGAAAGAGCATAAGTCAAGCTAGACAAATACTGTAATCCGTATGCAGTGTCTGCCAAAGGCTTTGGTGGGGATGATACATGATACAGTAAAAGGAGTACTGAGGCTTTGTCTATAAACCTGGTGTAGTCATTATCTACACTGGAGACCTCCTATAAGACTCTCAACCTCACTGGAACTCAATTTCCCTCATTTGCAAAACAAAAATTGTCATAGGCTTCCCTCCCTGGTCCCTTCTGGTTCGTATATCTTCTGCTTCTGAGAAAAGGCAGTTTAGCCAGGGTTATTCATGTCAACGTGAGTATACCTTCCCCAGGGAAGATGCCTGTCCTTAGAGGTTGCAAAGGCATAATTCTACCCACTTACCTTCTAGGATCTTGTGAAATTTGATTCCAGAGAGAATGTAGGAACATATTTTATAAACTTCAAATCCTGCATCAATACTAACCCATAAATCATGGCTTTAGCTCTTTCAATTTTCTAAGTAAGTAAGCACTCTAGAAAATCAAGACTATGAAAGAAATTCTTTTCATTTTAAAGAGCATTCTTTTGGCTATAGCAAAGGAAAACAAAATTAATAATGATATTTTTTGAAGGAAGAAAACTGAATGTGTTTGACTTGGAACACATCATCCTCTATGTTTCTCAGAATGAGATAGAATTGCTGAATTGTCTTTCTCCATTAAGAAAAATGAATTAAAGTATTTGTTTCTTTTTTCTTGCTATACAAAAATTTAAAGTCTTTTTTTCTTTTCAGACCCCTGAAGTCAGGTGGAACATTGGTATAGATGGCTTTTTGGTTTGATTTTAGCTAAATCATTTTTTTTTCCAGTAAGCACCCTACACACACACACCAAACAACAACAAGGAAAGGTCATTCCACACATTGGAATGTGTGTTCAAATGATAGACTCTAGACAAATGGAGGCCAAGAGCTCTTGACATTGTCCAGAGGCTCTTGACATTGCCCAGAGGGAGGTATGGAAGGTCTTTACATACTGCCATCCAAGCTTCCCTGCTTGTTTTTTTTTCTCGTTCATTGTCATTTTATTTAAAGGACTAGGGGATTGTGGGTGGCTAGTAGGCATGTTGTTAAGGACAAGGGAGGAGGGTATGAATGAGTTTAGTTCATGCTTGCCACTGGCTTTGGAGGAAGAGCACCATTGTGACCCCTGGGCCTCTGTTTTCAGATCAAACTCCGACTCCTACGAGATTCCTGAAGAATTGTGAGGAGGTGGGCCTCTTCAGCGAGCTGGATTGCTCCTTTGAGCAAGAGTTCAGGAAGGCTCAAGAGGAAGAGAGCAGCAAGAGGGTAGGTCTGCTGGGGTAGACACCTGGAGAGATGATTCTGGAGCACCTGCTAGAAACTTCCATATAGAAACTAGATGGCACTGCAGATTGCCTTCATGTGGACTTGAAACAGTATTTTATCTATCTATCTATCTATATCTATCCAACTATTTATATCTACCTATCTATTATCTATTTATATCTACCTAGTCTATTTAGATCTATATCTATCCAGCTATTTATATCTACCTATCTATTATCTATTTATATCTATCTATCTATCTATCTATCTATCTATCTATTTGTAGTGCTGGAGATTCTACCCAGAGCCTTGTGCATGCTAAACAAGCATTCTACTACTACCTCCCCAGCCTTTTAAATTTAATTTAATTTTATGTTCATTTTTTTGAGACAGGGTCTTACTATGTAGCCCAGGCTGGCCTTGAACTTGAGATCCTCCTGCCTGGAGGATCCTGAGTGCTGGGTTTATAGGTGTTTACCACTGTGTGTGGCTGAAGCAGTATTTTATCTATTTGTGAGTGTTGGTCTAATGATTTTTTTCTTTTGAAAACTGATGAATTCCTGTTTTGGTAGCATCAAAACTTGAATAAATCATTGGGAAAAATAGGTATCTGAAATATGAAATTCAGGACCTCCCCCAAAAGTTACCTGGTTCTTAAAGGTGTATCAGATAAACTCATGGGTAAGTTTGTTTTACTTTGCTAATTATCAAACAACAGGGCTTTATGTGGGTGATGAGTGCAAAAGATAAGAGCCAGAGGGTTAGAGAACAGGGGAGTAATTGTCATGGAGGAGAAGGGATTTTCATCTGATGTTGATGCAGGTTGTAACTGTCTGTTTTCCATAATCTTTCTGGTGGTTCCTTACCAGACACAAAATTACTTCCTGTTCATGTTACCTGGTCAGATTATTGAACATCTGTTGCTTGTGAAACAAATACATTAGCTATAAGTGTAGATGGCTTGTTCTTAAAAATGTAAGAAATTCACTTTGTGAAACTCTCAAGAATATATATTTTGATCAGAATGTTGTTCTGAAATTTTAAAATCAGTTTACAAAATTAAGTCAAGGAGACGGGGTCACAAGTAATTGTGACAAGGATACCTCTTAGTACCTTTACCGAATGCTCACAGTGTGCTAAACAAATTAGACACAGTCCATGAACAGAAACTTAAAATGTGAAAGATAATTGAAAGAAAGGACCAGCAAGGTAGTAATGAATTCTGAAATTCCAGCTGTTCCACCCGGAAAAGAAATTTTAAAAGGTTCTGATATTTCTCTAAGTGTTTCAAAGCCTTTGAATCTTCCTCTATGTGAAATTATTGTAATCCTGTCACCAGATTTTTTATGTCACATTCTCACATCATGGTAGTCCAAGGATTACAGTATTTTAGTCTGTACTGCTTTAGGAAAGAAAATCATGAAACTATGTGACATTGACAAGAGGAGTATGAAATCTCAATTAACTTATTTTATTCATTTATTATTAGTCATTTATCTTTCACCTTTTTTCATACTCCCCTGAAAAATAATATGAAGTGGCTTCTTCTCATTTCTAAACAAACACATGCATAACAATTGAGTCTTGGCAAGTAAACAGTGACGTTCTGAACACGCTAAAAAATTAACTTATAAAAAATAGAATACGTAATATTTCATTGCAATGGGAATAGATTTTAAAAATCCATGAAAGGGAGAAGAAAGTCTTATCTAGTTAATTTCCTCTGGCTGAGTGATAAATTGAGTTCTCTTAGTAGATTTGCATATGTAGAAGACTGATCAAGTTCATTATTTCTCAAGAAGCCAATACTTCTTAAACCAAGCAATAAGGAACATGTGTACTTGGCCCATACTGTCTTCATTTATGAAGTGTATGCCATTGGTTTTCCTTAAAAAATTTACCAAGAACGGTTTCATGATGCCCACGGTAGGGGTGTGGTTTTAGATAGTCTCTATTACATTATTCATGATTTCTTATATGAAAGCCTGTGCGAGGAATTCTTGCAGATCTGAATTCCAGGAAATGGTTTGCTTCCCCTAGGAACTGAAATATTTTCTCCTTGTGGCTATAAGAATCATGCAACTGGTTCTGTTTCTCTTTTCTCTTTGACTGCTAGGTTAACACAAAGCCAAGTTTACTACTTAACTTTGAGAAATTTTTAGAACATTGTGATGAGCGATATTTTACTTCTCTTATACACTAGACTTTCAGTTCTAGTTTATACTTTCTCTGGTCTTGATTTTTCATTAAAAAATATTTTCACACTGTATGTGTTTTGGGAGTTGCTTTAAATTCCTTGTGGGTTGAAGAGTGAGTAACAAATCATTAAATTGAAAAAAATGAAAATAATGAGGTAAGCAACATTGAGAAAGTGGACCATTGCAGCTGCACGACTGTGTGTTTTTCTCTCTTTTAAATGTTGCTCAGAGTCATGGAGTGATTTCATGGTGGATTTGTGGGTGGGGTAGCCTACAGCCTGCCTCCCTCAAGGTTTTGGGCTGGCCTCTTAGGACACCATAGTCTCATTTCTAAGCCTCACTTACATGCATTGGGAGCTGAGGCTCCTTCTTCCTTTGTCATGCTTAAAGCAGAGAGGCCAAATCCAGGTTTGAGTGGCCATCTCTACATGAGGGGGTGTTTTCTTGAGGCCTAAAGCACAGTGACTCATCTGGTGGCAAAGTTGAGTGTGTTGGTGGCTTCTACCCTACATTTCTTTGGAAGCCTCAGGGTGAGGAAATGAGGAGCAGGGAGTGTTCGTTCCTCAATCTGACAATATCCTTTTATCTACCCCTTTGGCCAGAATTCTCCAACCGTCAATATCTGTACCATAGTGACATCTCCAGCTCCAACTTCATTTATTCTTTCACTGCTTAAGAAGTAGACACAGGTCCTTATTCAATGCATACCTTACGCTCCTAGAGGGTTATCTTGTCTTTCCTTTTACTGTACATTCAGATGGTCATTTCTATTTAATTCAACATTTCCAACTCTCTTCTGATTTCTTTGTCTCAGAGTCCTTTAATAAGTCTTGCATAGATTCATCAGTAAGCTTTCATAAAGTGGAAGATGGATGGAAGAATTTTTTCTGAAGAATTTGGTTCAAAAAGGCTTCTTGATGTGCTAAATGCTTTATACAACAATATTGAGAAGATTAGGATGGTCATGCCCTTCACCCTTAAATTTCTAGCTGATGTTTGGTCTAGAAAATTCTATGAAAGAGAAAATAGAGAATCGATCCTTGCTTAGTTTGTATGGCTAACCATTGGAGAAAATTCCATTGTACAGAATCTATCACTAAACCTAACATCCTTTTCCAAAAGCATCCAAATATGTGTATAAAGTGACAACTTACCTATGGCTTAGAACTCAGGCTAGTCCATATCCTGAAACATATATGACATTTTTGTTGATCAGTTTTCATTCAGGAAATATATTTGGGTACCCATCACATAGCCAGGCATTGTACATAGTACTGGCGAAACAGATCACTGAATATAGATGAGAAAAAACAAATAATAAAAAGCCAGTGTCTTCCTGAAGTTTACTTTTGTGGACAAGACAAACAATAAAAAAATGGAAATACTTGTAACATGTCAGAAGGTGATAAGTGCTATGGAGGTAAGTGCAGCAGGGAAGGGGATCAAGGGAGGACTGGGCACTGTTAGAAAGAGCAGCTATGGTCAGTGACCGTGTGAGCAGAGACCTGAGGAGAAGAAGGCCTGAGCCAGGTGCACACTGGGGAGTGCTCCAAGTTACGACAACTAAAATGCAAAGGCCTGAGGCTGGATGATGAGCTGCATGTTGAAGGAGTTGCAAAGAGGCCAATTTGGCTGGAGGAGGGTGTGGAGTAAGTGCAGGAAGGCAGCTTCAGGAGGGCCATGCAGGTCATTGAAGGGCTTTACTTGGAATGAGATGGGGAGTCTTAGGATAGTTCTGAGCAGAGGAGTGATAGGATCTGACTTAATGTTTTATAAAAATCACTTTGGTTGTTAAGTTGAAAGCAAATTGTTGGTAAGCAGTGGCAGAAAGAGGATATAGAAAGAATCTAGGTTAAAGATGGTAGCAGATTTGCTCAAAGTGAAGATGAAGGAGTAGTTAGATTCTAGATATATTTTGAAGATAGAGGCAAAAGATTTGGTGGTGGATTATACTGGAAGTTAACAGGAAGAGGAGACTCGAAGATGAGCTCAGGCTTTTGGCTTGAACAGTTAGAAGGATGGAGTGACCTGTAATAGGAGCAGGTTTGAGGGAAAATTGGGAGGTCTGGGTTTCAGGGATGAAGAGAAGCCTGAAGATGCAGATTTGATGCTGATGGCATAAAACTGGTGTTTCAGTACATGGAAACAGATGGAATCACCTGGGCCAGGAGTGAAGGGAGATGAAGAAGAGAGGGCTGAACATGGATCTAACTAAGCAGAGTCTTCCAGAATCCCCCAAGACAGAGTGGTCAGCCATCTTCAGTGACCAGACCTGATGCCTAAGACATGAGGTGTGAGGAATGAAGTCAAGAACCCCAGCCCTTGCAGGAAGGTTGAGTAGAAAATTGGTGTGCTGATTTTGTGGTCCATGTTAGAGGAAAGAAAAACAAAATAGATTTTAAAACAAGAAAGAGAATTCTGAAAGAGAGTGTGAAGTGACCTTTTAGTAAAAAGAGAGAGAAATTGAGTAGGCCACATCTAGGAAGCAGGAGATAACTTCAAAGTTGTGTGTGTGTATGTGGTGTATGTGTGGTGTGTGTGTGTGTGTGTGTGTGTGTGTGTGTGTGTGTGTGTGTGTGTGTGTAAGGAAGGAATGGCTATTGAAGGGACTAAAAATGAACTCCTTTGTCTTGTTGAGAGAAATATAACATTACAGCTTAACATGGTTAAAAACCCTGAAGATGAAAAGCACTGTGTATAAGTGCAAAGTGTTATTTTCCCATAGGACCTAAATATGAATCATTATGCTGATGCAGAAATAGCAAATTAGGGCATTTCCATGCTCTAGAATTCCTACCCAAA